CAGAATTAGTAAGGTGAAGACTTGGGAGTGATGTTAAATGATGGGCATTTCGTAACAATATGTACAATAGATAAAGGATAAAAAAAAAACGTGTATTTTGATAAATTTAACTGCAACATTCTGATTACAGAAATGAGAACTGGCGATTACATGATAGAACTATACGTTCTGTTGACACAGGTACATTTGAAATATGATTTACTTGCAGACTTGACAACTGAAATAGGAATTTTTAAAAGTTTATACGTAACAAATGTTTTTAACAATTATTATTTATGTTTCCCTAATGGTAAAGTTCTTGTTAAACATTGCCTTGTTGTCCCGTGGTTCACGTCACATATAATCATTCACATCACATTATGACCCAAATTAAGAGCTCGGGAAAGAGTTTAAAAATTAATGAAAGTAACTGCAATATTTGTGTATGATATTGAAGATTACATGATGTCTTAGAGAAGCTTAGCGCCGGATATATTTTTTGGAAGTCATGGTATTCCCCCTTGGTGCATGTGTTGGTAACTTATTCTAAAATCTTAGGTATGGAGGCTTTGAAGTAAGGATTTATTTTTGTGTATAGTAATATTTAACAAAGCAAGTTGCCTCAAATTTTATTAACTCATCGTCGATAGGTTATCGACTATACACGTAGTTACGTACGACTGTAGTCGTATTTATACGTACAACTATACTTGTATTTATACGTACAAGTATACGTGTATTTTCATCTTCGTTATAACCCAAAAGGTTCAAGTAAGTAATTCAGAGTGATTACTTGTCAATAACTTAGCTCATCGTGAAAGACCGTTAGATAGGTAGATTTTTAAAAATAATTCAACTGCCGAGTTACATGTTAATGTTTAATTCACCTTGCGCTAAGAAACGGAATCCACTAGATCTGAAAAAGAGAACTCAGTACCCACGTAGTCGTATAAAGGTTTGTTAGAAACCAGAAAAACAAGAATGACATACGTTCTGAAATGAAGCCAGTTACGATCTAAATGAAGATAAATGCATGCATCTTCGGAGCTCTTGCTCACTAAATCCACGATTTATTTCATTTTAAAAAATAGTTACTCTGATTGATAGCTTAAAAAAAGAAAGGACGAAAGTGTCAGGAACCAGGACAGATTGGCTGTGAAGATAGCTGTCATCCATTTCTATTCCTGGCTGCACCACGCTGCATCTGTTATTATCTAATGCACGTCTAAAAATGAAGGATAGAGAAGATAGGTGCATTTTTTGGCACATAGAAGGTTACTCTGCGCCAACTAATATTTATTCATATTTTCACAAGAAGCCTTTCTTGAAACTTCTTTATAAATGCTTTAAATTAAAGTGTAAAAAATGTGCGAATTAAACTCATTTCAGGTAAAATATTTGGATGCAATTTCTTGGAGAAAAACACGTAAATTAAAATTTTCAGAAGCTCCTGAACAGACAGAACATAACAGATACTAAATCAAATAGTTAATGACAACAATTTGACAATAATTGCTGCAATAGATTCATTTCCATCCCAGACATGTTCGTGATAAGTGCTAAAAAATCGGAATTTTTTTGCGTCTGTAAGAAAATACAGCTCATAAACAAAGACATCTTAAACAAAACTACGTACAAATCGAAACAAAAGGTAGGTTAATTTTTTTTTGTGTTGATATTGCTAGAAACACCGAAGTTTGTGGTTGTGTTTTGTAAATTATATGCTGCTAGTATCATAAGAAATCGTTAATAAATATGCTGTTATTTTTTCCCACGTGACAATAAACTACTAAAAAAGACTTCGAATAACTGAAGATAGTATTAAAAAAAAGATAGTGCTAATGAAACGAAAAAAATTGTCTTAGTATCGTATTCAAAGCTTACATCCTTTTAAAATTCGTCAAGATGAATTTTAAATTCAATTTAATATTAACCACCAACCAAAGCCGTTACATAATCTCTTGTGAAAAGTGACGTACTATGCTAAAAAGAATTGATTTTTGCTGACAAGGCAATAGATAAATTACAACACTTCCTTGATGAGATTGAAGTTGCACATGCCACAATGCAGTGCTAGTATGTGTGCTCATGTTGTACATATATTTATAAAAACAGTGTTCTGTAGAAATTCAGCCTGAGCGTAGTTTCGTTTTGGAAACCCTGCATATTTTACCTGAACAAACAAACAAGCAATAGAGCAAAATTCAGGTTTACAACAAAATTCCATTCCCACACGGCTCTAAGATCTCGATTATGTGCTTGAAATTAGCATTAATTCCACTTTTAGGGGATGTTGCTAGCTGAAGATGCCAAGTTTCGTTGCTTTGTTCTAGGCGTGGGACACCAATCGTAGTCTCTGCATTATTAAAAACTCATAAAAACAGAAGTCAAAGATTGACTGTCAATGCGCAAGATGATTCTTCAAAAGGGACAGAATGGATCAACTATGCTGTAGATTACTCGTTATTTGGTGAATTTGCAGATCCTTTCTTTGGCTCCACAGAAACTGTTTCCTTTATGATTTGATCCAATGATTGATTATCCATTAACAACTTATCGTAGATCAAAGACTGTGACACCTTATTTTACGAGACAGAGCTATTGATGTACACAATAAAGCTCTTGGGAAGCCTTTATACAGAGAGCCATATTGCCAAGCAATTATCATTAGACTACATGACATGCACTACCGCACAAGCAAAGGCAAGCCAAGTCTCAAACTGATGAAATTTGCGTGGCTTCTGGACCATCAGTCATGGACTGAGGAAGACGATTTGGTCTGATAATCGGACCTTCCCAATCTTAAACAGAAATAGCAGAGGGAGAAATTTTCGTTCGTTAAAGGCAAAACTCTTTCATTTCGTCAAAACATGAGATGTAAGAAGTCAAGCGAATAGGTTTTTATAGCCAAAATCCTAAACAATTAACGATATCGTGGCCGGGCTTCGAATCATAGACTTTCCAATTGAACTTGTTAATCACAGTATTCACGGAGAAATGAAATAATCAGTGACAAATCAATAAGAATGTGATGCCGCTAAGTGTTTCAGTGATATGGTATAATAGGATAAGACATTTAGTGCACAAAGTAGCAGGGAAAAATTGCTTCAAGTCGCATATTGCCAGCATGTCTGTTTGACTTTATCGTAATTTACTAAGTTTTGAATTGCTTCTCTGATACCTTAAGTCTTAACTCATTCGAACAGTTGAAGACTGCCGTCAAGAAGAAAAGAACGAAGAGACAAACTCGGACCCAAAGTTCTACTCATGAACATTTTCGAAGAATAAGTCAACATACCGCAAAAGCCTTGTTGAACTTACATCCTGCGCAAGCCTATGAGCCTACATCCTATATCGTTGGCAAGTTTCTTATGTGTTAGCTGCGGTACTATTCAGTAGTAATTGTATACAAGAATAGATTACGTAAAAATTTACAGGGAAGGTTTAAGTAATGCATACATAAGCAGAGATGTTTCAGAAAGTTAATTTCCTCTCTGTTTATAACAATTAAGTCTAGAAGTAGCCGTAAACATTTATTCTGATAGAGAATAATTCTGCTGTAGAACACTGAGAAAGTAAAGCAAATACAGAGGCTGTTCACACATTTTTTAGACAATGTATATTGTGTTCACAAAACTAAACTACATAAAATTCTTGTGTTTTAAATGTTCTATTTGACATCCCTTATTCTGAACTATCTTTCGACACCGAAATTTCCAGGGTAATAATGCCTTTTGAAGTGGCAGAAGAGATATTATATCCCATTCCTCCCGAACAGCTTTCCAGAGTCCTGTTAGGGTTTTGGGACAACGTTTGGATAATGCAGTTTTTAAAAGTCCGAAAGCACAAAAATCCATAGGTGACACATCGGGAGATTTAGTAGGGATATCAGTGAAGGGTATTGCCTTGATACCAGTTTTTTGTTCCATTTCGTTCAGGAAATTTACAAAGGATTTTGATGTGTGACTGCTAGCTTTGTCCTGATGGAGTCTCACAGATTGATAGCTCTGTGAGTACAGCGATGGTATTTCATTCAGAAAAATTGGCGATAAAATATGTTCCTGATAGTATTTGGAGTTAATCTTGACATTGTTTTTGCACTCTCTTTATTTTTAACTTGCCATTATAAGAAAAACCAGCAACAATCATGAATCCCTTAGAAAAACTTTCTTTCGATTCTTTGAACCATGTACTTAAATTTTTTTCTCCCTTTTTATGATAATAAATGGCTCTTTTTTGTTACAATCATTTAAATACACCCGTGCTTCATCTATTGTGACAATGTTTTCCATTTTTCTTTGGATAAGCGTTTCTCATATAGAATTCTGCAGCGTGTCCTGCGTTGAGCGATATGCTTTGGAAAAAAAACGAAGCACATTGCGTTTCTTTTTTTTTTCGCTTTCTTAAGATTTAAATCAACGTTTATCATTTTGTTAACAGTAGACACCGAGCATTTTAATGATTTTGCAACTGTACATTCGACTAGGGCAATTTTCTTTCAACATTAAACAACGTACCTTTGCACTAGTCGAAAGATGTCCGTTTTTTTCCTTGGATACTTGTTTGGAAATTTTTGTTCCCACTTGAGGCACCAATTTGACGTTTGTTTTCCTTTCTTGTTGATGATATTACCTATCGACGCTTTAGATAACACAAAATCATGACTCTCACATCGTTTTTGGATAACGGAGTATGCATATTTCTCTTCGGAAAGAGGGTAAATGTAGCCTTCGAACCACTGCTTTGTTAAATTCGCCATTTTGAATAAAAACAAAACTTTGAAGCCACAGACAATAATTTTGACTTTTGAAAACATAGTACAATTGCAATTACTTCTTTTGCAGCAAACGTTTTTTTATTAACGCTTACCAAAATCGTCTAAAAATGTGCGAACAGCCTCTGTAGAAGTTTTTTTTTTTGACATCGATTTATATCCTCGCTTCGAAGTTTTCGCCCTAACCTTCCACTTACTTAAGCTATTAGAAAGCTGTCGTAACGAGGAACAAGAAGGATTCAATTACCTTTTGTGAGAGTTCACATTCTGCAGACGTCCTTCTGTTCTCCACTTTGGTCTGCGTACCTTCTAAATTGTTCGGCTTGAACTCTTCCTTGAGAGAAGTCCCTGATATGGAAGTTTGTCGACTGGGCAGGTAGTAGGTGTTGGATGGGCTCAAAGTATTCTGACTTTGAATGCTGCTGTTAAGGGACATCTGGCGGCTGCATGGAATAGGCTCATTCGGAACTGGAGTCGAAGTCCCGTTGTCCCGATATTGAGAAAGAGATACACTCTTAATCGAGTTTTGAGGGCTAAGTACTTTTGGGCTGTTGATGCTATTCTGTATCAAAACTGGTCTCTTGTTGTTCGGTGTATTTTGAAGAGTTGGGATACTGCCATTACAGTGCGTGTGCTCTGAGCTTTGATTGCTGGAAAAATGCACATTATATAACACCAACAAAAATAGTATTAAACAAAACTATATACATCATGAGAGATTTCAATTAAGAATAATTCATTTTTGATTACTAATTGTGAGACTAATTTGTTGGAAGATCAAGAAACTTTATTGTTCATTAATTCTATATTAAGAAAAAAGAGTTGCTACGATGTTCGTTTACAAAATAAACTAATTTCTGTATTTTTAAATAAACTCATTAAAAATATGAACGGAAGAGGAAAAGCGATTGAGTATTATGACACATAAAACTTTTCTTTGAAGTAAAATTCTTCTGTTATTATCATCGATATTTTGTTAGACACTGCTACTTTAATGTAATTTAAAAGAATAACAAAAAGAAGATACCGAAGAACTAAATATTAGAGAAATACTGAATAAGCAACAAAAGTCGGCATAATTTAAACAAATTTTCAGGACTACATTTCCGAAGGTTATATACAATATTCTTCTTTAGTTGCGAAAGTAAAAATGAAAAAAAAAAAAAAAAAAAAAAAAAAAAAAAAAAAAAGATAAAAGGAAATTCGCGAACTCTTTATTATCCATCACCGTTGGTCAAAAATTCACGTTTTCCTTTCTTCTGAAGTCAAAGTTATTCCAAAACGTCTACACTGGCAAATGAATTATTCTAGAAATGTTTTGTGTCACTAAAAATCTTTTGGTCTGCGGTGGCCACTTTTAGATTGCTGACTAGACACATCTCTCTCCGTACCCACAACTCCAGGTACCCTGAGATTCTCCACGCTACAACTCGCGATGCACTCGACGACACACAGAGCACAGCTCCCGACTCTTCGGTTCAGTCGTTTCCGGAGCTCAACATGCTCTCTCGACGATGCACTATTCGCGATACACTAAGAGACTCTTTCGGTGTACTCGACGAGCCACTCGGCACTCGCACAATGACTGACTATTAACTCGCTAGACGAGACACCAACTTGATACTAACTAACTTTCCGCCTACCAGCAGGGTTTATATAGCTTCTGACTGGTGTTCGAGAACATTCTGGGCTAAACCGGTAAGAATTCGTTCCAGAAGGTTCTCCATCCGTCCATGGCATATCGCCAATTTTGTCGCCAAATGGGAGATTTCTCGCCAAATGTGGCAAACCGCCCTTCCCCTGCCATTTCATGGCACTCCTAAAACTGCTTTACGGGGAAGCTATCTCACCGCGTCTGTACATTTCATAACAATATGTTATACTCGGATTTTCATAGCCTAAAATACAGCAATTCTAGTAATTTACGCAAACATAACGTGGTCTTATCTACGATGGACCCGTTCATATGCACATAATACACAAGAACATAATGTTTATGAGTAATTGAATAATACATTTTAATTACCGAATGAAATGAAGGCATTTGAATCTATTTGGCATAATGCATATTTCACAGAAATGTCAAGAAACACTATCATTCATTCCCGAAAATTAAAGATTGTTTTTTTTTTTTTCATCAAAGGTTACTTTACCTTGGTGAATGCGGCGTCATGTTGTTGAGCACGATATCTTCAGGTCCAGAGCCATTTTCAGAGCTCTCATTCTCGCTCTTTTTCCGACGATGTGCTTTCCACCCGTTGAAGCTACCTTTACACCCACTGCCAGTGCTACCTTTCCGTTGTAGGCTGAAGCACGGGCCCAAGGAATTCTGCAAACAGGGCAATAATAAAATGTATTTATGATTATTAATTAGAAGAGAAAGAAAGTTAGATAGAGATGAGGCAGCAATAAATTTATAACAAGAGCATTATATTGGTAGTGGAATTCTAAAATTCCTAAACTGGGTCTTATAATTCTGCTTCCTAAATGTTTCAAAAAAAAAAAAAAAAAAAAAAAAAAAAAAAAGGCAAATAAAGAAATAGCAGAAAGTTTCAGTTGCCGTAGTTTCCTTATTTTTACGCTCTTTGCATTATTTGATATAAAAAGTTTAAAATTAAGTATTATACTGCATTTCTAATTCGCTATTGCAAGTCATTAATTTTATGTAATCTTAGCAAGCGATCCACAGGCTAAGAAAACATGACAGAAGAATCATTTTATATAATGGAGTTCAGTTATGAGAAAATTTGTCGTTCGTTATTGACAAGACTCGTCTTGGCTAAAGCCCACCAGCGGCCGAGCGGTAAAGACGCTGAACACTGGTAGTTCGGTCTGAGGTTCGAATCCCGCGAACGGGCTGGCTGCATGGGCGTTTTCGTGATTTTCCCCATGTGTAACGTGTATACGAGCCAGTTTCCCTTAGAAAGTCCTCCACGAAGGCATCCCTGCCTTTAGGCAGATAGCCCTCGTGTGCTTTGCCATAACTGAATAATCCAATCTAATCCAATCCGTCTTGGCTAAGCTTTTCAGTAAGTTTGGTTTTGGTTTGGTTTATTTGATTAGGGTAAAACCTACGACGGCTATGTGATTAAGAGGAGGTGTGCTTTCGTGGGGAACGTTTTAAGGGAACTGGCTCGTATCAACGTTACACACGAAAACACCCACACAGTCAGCCTGGAATCGAACCCAGGCGGTACTACCAGTCTTTAGGAACTTCTACCGCTTGGTAAGTTGGTGGACGTCTCTTCAGTGGGAGTTTACCTCATGGAAAAGAACGCATTTCCGGTAGAGATTAAAACATTTACTGACTTTTTCATCTTTCAATAGCCCACCAGCGGCCGAGCGGTAAAGTCGCTGAACACTGGTAGTTCGGTCCCAGGTTCGAATCCCGCGAACGGGCTGGCTGCATGGGTGTTTTCGTGGTTTTCCCCATGTGTAACGTGTATACGAGCCAGTTTCCCTTAGAAAGTCCTCCACGAAGGCATCCCTCCCCTTAGGCAGATAGCCCTAGTAAGCTTTGCCATAATTAAATACACATACACACATCTTTCTATAATTTGGTAAAACTATCAATTAAAATGGTATTTTCAGTAATTTAACCATATTTAATTTCCAAAACTCTCCAAAAATACAAGCGTAAATAATACGAAAATAAGTTTTATTTAAAACTTATCAAGTACAACGAAAATACATGAACGGGAATTATAGTCTAAATTTGCGAATACAAAATGATATAAGATAAACATAATCAAAATAGTTTGCAATGCGTTATAAATTATTTATATATATATGTACCTAGGTCTTTACCACAAAAACATTCCAAATATTCCTCACATACATGTAATATTTAAATTACAATGAAATATTTTTTATAAACTGTCTAAACAGGGACAAGTAAAACAATTTACTATAATTGTAATCTCCTAAAAAAACAGTGACACACACACACACACACAAAAAGGACAAAAAATGGCAGTTGCTTGGCAAGGTATCTCAAGTACTACGCTTGTTGGTCTTGTAGTCATTAATAAATCAAATGCCATTTTAACACATTTACTCAAATACTTCACTTATTTAAAAAAAAACTTGAATAGATTTTTATTTAAAGGTAGAGGTTGAAGTATGGCCGGCACGTGTGTATACCCGAAGGTGTATCAAGGATGCTAACTAGTATTAAGCTTCCGCCCCAATTTTGGAAGAAAACACTCCGATGGGGGATCTGAGGGTCTCCCACCTCTCTTCTCCTACCAACAACCTCATGAGAGGACTTTCGGCTCGCTGCATATTTTGAGTGCCCCGCTGCCGCACAGACAGTATACGCTTACGAATAACCCTTCTTCTCCGAGATTATAACCCGGGCCTATTGGTGCAGCAATCAGCATCACTAACCACACGATAGCGGATGGGTGTCGTTATTTGATTGCAGTCAGTGCATTTTACATAATTAACCGATGACGGATAAATTGAGTTGGCGATTAACTATATCTTGTCTAGGAAAAAGTTAAGCTTGTTTACTGAGGATCAATGGAAAAGTTACAATTACAAACCATCAAAATAAAAGAAAATTTGTTAGGGCAATTTAAAAATTATAAGAAAATAGGCAGGATAACTACAGTAGTGATAACAAAACGATATCATAGTATTTAAGAACTATTTTAATCCACCACAATAAGTAATTTAATTGCATCTAATTTGGACTACATAAACATTGTTAAATCCTCCGTTAAAATTGATTGCTAAATCATAAAGATAAATTAAGTTTATAGCCATCAAACTTCTAATCCCCAATAACCCCTATCTAAGTACTAAGCCGCATAAACATTATTATTTCTGTTTTAAAGTGTGTTTTTCTGGTTTTGAAGCGAATTTAATTTACATAACCACGCGAATTTATTCTCCAAAGTAAACTGCTTAAAATACAGAAAATTGTTTACAATATTTTTCTGTTAATTATAGATATACAGGGGTTGGACAAAAATATGGAAACACCTTTAAAAAAACATGTTTCTTTGCTTAATTTGGTGAAAGGAACCCGTTGGCATCCAAAACAGCTTGCAGTCTTCTCGGAATAGATAAATACAGTTCCTGTATGTTTGCAAGGAATATTATAGCATTCTTCCTGCAAAACGGTGGCAAGTTCAGATAAGATGTTGGCGGAGGATAACGAGAACGCACTTTCCGTTCCAATGTAGACCACAAAGGTTCGATAATATTCAGTTGGTGACTGTGGTGGCCAGGGAGATGGGACGACTCATCCTCGTGCTCAGAAACCAGTCCTGGACAATGTGAGCGTGTGAACAGGGCTTTGTCGTCTTGGAAACACCATCACCATGGGGAACAAAGTTTGTACTATGGGATGAAATTGATCGGCCAAAATGTTCACATAAGTCTTGCAGTCATGTGCCCTGACAAGTTATCGTGGGGCTAGCAGAGAACGATATGGCTGCCCCAACCATACAGAATCCCCGCCATGTTTCACTCTTGGCAACAAAGCAGTCTGTATTATAGGCTTGAGATGGCGTCTCCAGACGTAAACTCGGCAAATGGGAAACAATTGAAAGAAGACTCGTCAAACCATATTACTCGCTTCCAACTGCTCTATAGTCCAGGCTTTATGACTTAAACCCCCTTCCTGTTATGCATTAGCATCACTGATAAGTGGCTTCTCAATTGCAGCACGGCCAGCAATTCCCTGTTATGAAGCTCCCTTCTAATTGTTTTGGTACTCGCAGGGTTCGGTAACACAACATCATTTCAGCAGTAACTTTTAAGCTGTGGTCTTCTTATTTTTTCACAATTGCCTTAATGATCGTCTGTCACGATCACTCGGGACACACTTTCGTCCGCACTGTGATTAGCAGATGATGTTTTTTCGCTTTCAAATATGCGGAATAAATCTTCGATACAGTACCTCTTGAAACACTAAACACCTCGGCCTTGCTTACGGAAGCACCTACCATCGGCTCCAACAATTTGCCCACTTCGAAGTCTGTTAACTCTACATAATGCAATGACAATTTCACATAACAGTACTCCGACAACAACTGAACTGTTTAGCACATTTACGAAGTTGTATAGGTGGCGTCAGTAGTCAAAAACGCCAGCGCCACCTACATATTTCATTAAAATCAATCTTTCTTTTCAAACATGCATTTCACAAGGTGTTTCCATATTTTTGTCCATCCACTGTAGATCCTTCGTTTTTCCTGTGTAGGTTTTCAACTGCGGTGGGAGTTAGCACGATTGTGCATTAATCGTATTAGGTAATACTTAGGTCAAATGACAGCGTACTATATTTGTTTGTTTATCTTAGGTTAAAGCGAAAGGTACTATATTTGTTTGTTTATCTTAGGATAAAGCGAAAGCGTACTATATTTGTTTGTTTATCTTAGGATAAAGCATAACTGATTCATCATGAGACACAGCAGTTTTAATCTTCAAATGAAGATATTGTTTTATAGATATTATCGTAGTAGATGTCGCTGGAATTGAATGTACAAAATTTTCAGTATCAGTGAAACATATTCTTTTTTTGCAATTCAATAAAATCTGTTTGCTCTTATATATGCGTTTAATTAATTCGCCTACCCCCCAGCCAAGATATTATTTAGCGACGCCAATTGCCGTACCGAAGAGGCGGGTTTGAATCCCGGAGAAGGCATAGATGTATAGTGCCTGTGCAGCACGAGAGCACTGTAAACATGCGGCTAGCCGAAAGGCCTCTCGAGACGTTGGTAGTATAGAAAGAAGAGTGAAAGACCCTCGGACTCGTCCTCAACACAAAATTGGGTACGGAACTGTACTAAAGTTGAGTTGTCACCTTATATGGTGCTGAAGGATCTTGCTAATGATAGGCGCATTCGACTCTTAGCCATGATAAATGTTGTGCTAACCTTTGTGAGACAAGTGAAGATTGGTAACAACAACATTACCACAGCCCACCTTCTTCCTAATTTATCGGATTTACTAGAAAATCAGCAGTTACTGTAATTTCCCTAATCAGTCCTACTGATTCGGGGAATTACCTAAAGTAAGCATGTTCCTGTTTGCCCACTTGAAGTAATCTTGTTCGTGTTTGTATCTTGAAGGAATCAGGTTTGTATTTAGTACCTACCTTCCTGCTAATGTTGGACATGATACTAGACTGCCTGGAAAGAGCGACGATGACGCTATTCCTGCGGCTGTTCTGGGGGCTTCCCGTCAGGTGGATCGTTGGAATGTTTAAGGAGGCCACTTGGAACACAGGCATCCCATTCACTTGAAGCACATCCGGAGACAAGGACAACGGGCTCTGATGAGAGAAGACAGATAAGTGAAAAGAAAACACAGATGAGTATTAAATCTTAAGTATTCGAGAACTTATTGTACTTGTGTAATATATCTGAAAATTCTGATGTGCGGTTGGACTTTTTTATTGCTTGCTGATGCAGAGTACACTTTTCATCAGTGAAAAATGAGTCAGAAAATTACCTAAAGGAAATGAGGTTTTGATTTGACTTTGGTCAGACACTCAAAGGAAATATCTCAGAGGTCAAAACAAGTCCAATAATTTCGTGTACCCTTCTTTTAAAGAGATTATTACTTTTCGAAGTTAATTAAATTTGTCTTAGCCAAAGGAAAAGGCGATTATTGCATGGAAAATAAATAATCCAAATGCCTTTTTTCATAAAATCCACCTTTGGAATTCACAAAACCGTTGGGTTGAAGCATAAGTAATGGCCGTTTATGTTGTGTTTTAAATTACGCAGTAAAAACAAAATCTATTGGCATAATGTTTTGTGTTATTCGAAAGAGAATATTTCCCTATACAAGATGGCGTATATAATGTTTTTGTCTGAGATAATTTTTGCTAGTTTTCAGATCATTAAAATGGAGCGTCAAGTCGACAAAAATAAGAATTTTCTACACCTTCTTTTTGCATTTAATCGAAGTGCCAGTGCTGCAAAAGCTGCCCGAGAGATTTGTGAAGTGTATGGAGAAGGTGCAATGCCTGAACGAACTGCAAGAAACTGGCTTGCCAAATTTAATAACGGAAATTTCGATTTCGAAGACGCTACTCGTTCCGGACGACCCAATGAGTTTGATGCAGAGCGTTTGAGTCAACTTCTGCACAAAGACGAACGTCAAACCACTCGAGAATTAGCCGAAGGAAGGGGTTGTAGTCAAATGGCTATAGTTCGACATCTTGGGCCTATGGGGGAGGTCCAAAAACTCGGATAATATTGGCTAATTTATTGTTTTTTGTTTTGTTAAAATAAAAATTTTTAAATTAAAAAAACGGCCATTACTAAAGTTTCAACCCAATAATTAGCATAACTTTAACAACAAACAAATGCCTAAGCATTAATTTCCAAGTAGCTGTTAACAATTATCTCAAGAAACTAGTTTTCAACTAAATGAAATAGAAGTTATTCGAACTATTTTTGCTCCTCGTCTAGTCCAAGAATACTGAGCTTGTGTTCCATGTACTCACACAGTTAAAATATTTTAGTTTTTTAAATGATACATAAGGATAATACAGTACAGTGTATATTTTTAAGAAGCTACTATATTAATTAAAACTAATTTTGTGTTTACGACATACGGAAATAATAATATTTATGACTGTTCGTTAATTCTGACTAGATTATGCACTTCATCTAACAAGATCCGTCTAACAAGAGGATGAACAGCTACGTCGTTAAATTATACAGGAATAGTTAAAATCAACAGAAAGAACGACACAATTAGAATTCTAGCAGTTTAGAAGCAACTAAAATTCTGCCCTTGTAGATAACGAGAAGTGTTTTAATTTCGCAAATGAAAAGTTTTTTTTTGGCTTAGCGTGCAGATCATAAATACAAAACATAGAAATAGAAAATATACGATATTTTAAGATCATTAAATAAATACATTACAAATTCTGTTCACTTTGTAACCTATACACTGAAGTGACAAAAGTCATGTGATACCTCCTAATATTTTGTCTGTCCTCCTTTTGCCCGGCGAAGTGCAGCACTCGACTGGCTGTACTCAACCAGTCGGTGGAAGTTCTCTTCAGAATTGGCATTCTCCTCTATACACTCCTAATTGTGAAATGTTGACGGTGATTTTTGGCACTTGAACTGACCTCTCGAGATGTCCCATAAGTTCGATGTATACATTCGGGCATAGGGCCAGATCGTTCTGGAATTGTCCAGATTTTTTCTACAATCGCTACAATTGTGCCGGTGACATGGCACATTGTCATCCTAAAAATCCCTCGTTGTTCAGTACGTGAATCAGAATGCTTACGTGAGCTCCAGTACTGAAGGTATCGCTTTCCCATCAAGATCGGTTCAGTTGCACCAGATGACCGGTCCATGCCATGTAAAAACATCCATACCATTCTGGACCACCCCAGCTTGAACGTGCCTTGTTAACACTTGGTCCATGGCTTCGTGGGTCTGCGCCACATCGAACCTACCATTAGCTCTTACCACTGAAATCGTGACCATCTGAGAGCCACGGTTTTCCATTCTTTTAGGGAACCACGATAGGCTCTCGCCCACAAGTCGCTTCAGCGATGTCATCTTCAGTAAAGCATGAGTCGGTCTGTCTCTGTCATAAGCCCAAGAGACAATTTCGCCGCACTTCCTATCGACAGTACCTCATACGTCCCACTTGTTTTCCTGGGTTATTTGACTCAGTGTGCTTGTCTGGAACATGCAACTTTAATGCAGACGGCGCTCGCTCGTCGTTAAGTGCAGGTTGTCTGCCATTGCGGTCCATGTGGGATGTTATGCCTGATTAGATACTCTCTGCACACTCTTGACTGTGGCTCTCTGAATGGAATTCCCTAATGTATCCGAAATGAATGACCCATGCTCTACCTCCACTACCATTCCGCGTTCAAGTCGTTAATTCTCGTGGGGCGTCCATATCACGTCAAACCTCTCACATGAATAACTTGACACAAATAAACCCTGCCAAAGCCTTCGCATTTATACATTGTCTACGCGATACTACTGCCATCTATATATTTGCATATTGCTATCCCATGACTTTTGTCACTTCAGTGTATGTCAGAGTAAATAAATGTGAGTCTGTTTGATATCCGATTTTATACGTTTTACATAGCTACTAGATGACAACTCTGGTTTGATCACACTGTAGTATCATTAGAGCTCGGACCTTCCGATGAGTAGCCAAATGTTCTTTCCTGTCACACCACGAAAGCACAGGATAAAGGGGGGAAAATACCTCACGTTACTCCCCACTTAGTTACTGGAGAGGAGGAGACTAAATCATCGAATCTGGATGATAACGATTTATCATCCATACCTTTTAGTTTGGGTGCCATAGGAGTGTTATAAGGTTTTTCGAAGCAAAAGATGTGAAAAAAGAACTGTGTCCTCTTCGGGACTCGAACCACAGACCGTTGCTAGCCAAATGTGCTTTCAATTACCCTAGGAAGGCACGCGGTAAAGAAGGAGAAAATAACCTTATAACTTTCTCAATAACAGGTCAGTAGAATAAGTTTAATTAGCAAGTAATTTCAGCTTAAAGATTATAATTAAGGTGGAAAAGGTTTTTTTTAATTACTCATATGGCTATCATAACGATAATTTGCATTTAACTGTAGTTGTTTAGTGTTTTCCATACTGAAGATTATTTCCATTTATCGTCTGCAGTCTAAAAAAAAAATCCGCTTACGTAAGAAAAAGTATCTCGCATTTTCTAGCAGCGCCTTGGAAATTGAGGCTTTTTAAATTACTAGAATTGTATCTGTGTTCGTGTTTTAGTTGGCTTTGAAAATGAGGGATTACAGCAAGTGAAAGATTATACGGATTCTTACGTAGTTTTTTGAGAAGTCTGTTTTTCATCTTCAAAAATATGAATTAAGAAGCAATGATACGTATAATTATTTAAATCAAAATCTAATGTGGAGATTACATGACTTCCTTGTATGGCTTACTAAATTACGCATAATTTTTGCTGTATTTCACTTAAGCTTATTTCATCGAATTTCATTAGAGATATATTTTTCACTCGATTAATTCAGTTCTCACTTCGCGGCAAAGCAAAAATACATAAAAATTCAAAACATCTTCGTTAAAAATTGAAAAATATAGAAAAACATAAAACATCAAATACAATTAAAAACAGTTTAAAAAATTTTACAAATAAAATTAGAGTTTCTACGCAAAAACAAGCAATCAGGCCAGCGGGCCAGGGAGATATTTTTGGTGCACAAAACTGAAAGTTTACTTTTGGTTCCACTCGGCAAAAAGTCACTGAAAGTGCAGAAACTGTCTTAATTCACTATTTTACTAAGTTTCAAATGCAACAATGCTGCTCCGTTGGCTAGTTCGACTTCAACAACGTATACTCATCACCTTAACCTTATGATCTTCTAATATTGACTGTTGCAAGAATTGGGATATTGTATTTATTTTACAACCAATTACTGTCAACTTTTACAGCTGACCCTAATATAGGCTTTGGGAACTAGTAACCAGAAAGTTTGTGTTGCCAAAATATATTTTGTAATTTATCCGCTTTGTGAAAAGGTTTCGTCATATTCCACTTGCCGCATATTTTAAAAATGGAATGGAGTACTTGAAATTTGATTGAATTCTTTATCTGGGCACATTTCTACGAACCCAAATATGATGAATATTTATATAAAAAATTTTGATTCATGAAAACTTCAGATTTTTTTAAATACAACATTCTAAAACTCAACTCCAACTAAAATAAAATTTAACTGAAATCTTAGAATTTTTGGTTCCATAGTTTCAAATGTTATCAAATCTACATATTAATATAATAATATGCAACAATTTTTTAACTGCGCGCGCAAGGTGGATACATGACGAAAATTTGTCACAACGCGATTAACTATAAAAATATTTTGGGCAACACAAACTTTCTGATTATTTTTCAGAAAGCAGTATCTTTGTAGTCGCTGTAAAATTGAATAATTGCTTTTAAATAAATAGTTATCCGCATTTGCAACTCCTATTCGAAGATCTTATGGGTTTTAAGATGTATGAGTCCCCTTAAATCGTTAATAATTCTAGAACTACTGCATTTAGATTAATTAAAGGCATAAACGCCTTAGCAGGAGCATAAGAACAACATAATTTAATCATTTTTAAAGCAAAAAATACATAATTTACCAACATATAAGAATAAAAAACTGAGCTCATGCAGCCGAGTAACAGAGTGGGTAGTTTAATAAAACTAAGTTTAATAAAAGTAGAATTATATATATACCCACTGCAACCCAAAAGGGAGATGCACAACTACATGTTATAGCAGTCTCATACATAAAATGTCAACGTTCTGGGGCTACTTTTTAAGTTATGTTTTTTACTTTAAGTTATGCAAGGTACATACATGCGTACGTACGTATAACGTCAAGAAAGAAATATCTTCTGAATCCATTTTAAAACCCGTTTTGGGAAAAAGAATCCTTTATTCTGTCATTACGTACAGATTTCACGCAAAACATGGTTAAATTGCATTCGATTCGCCAAGTGAATTATTCTTGGCGCAAAATGTAAAAATGCACCAAGATAAATTTTTAAATTTCTCACCAAAATTACAAAGTTTAATAAATAGGCATAATTTGAGTCGTAGAATCGAAATATGGGAAAAAAAGTCCGATTTTGTATTAACATAGCTATGTTAGATTAATGCTATATATAAACCTAATATATACCTTAAATCGTGCTTTCGAGACATAAAAAACGCAATTTGAATTTCGTCAAACGGTCCAGTAGAATGAGAGATATAGAACTTTTTTTTTTTTTTCGCTGGACATTTGTATTTGTTTTGTACATTTTGTTTGTATTTTGTAATGTAATTAAAGGAAGAAAGACAGCAAGTTTGAAAGCCAGAAAAGTCGGGCAGAATATGCACAGCTATACCAAGCTATACTATAATGTTAAGTATGAATCAATTTTGGTTCTATTTTACACTGGTAGGTCGTTAATTTTAATATTATAATTGGCTGAAGCGACATGTGAGTAGCTGCGTCATCAGCATAACATAGAAATCATATCGTAAGGTGGAATTTTAACATAACGCAAGTTAGAAATATTTATTATTGCCATGCTACGCATTTGGGCTACAAAATGATTCTTTAACTCTCGTACTTGTGCATAATCGTCTATATCGAAAACAGAACATTAAGATAACAATATAATTCGGTAACAACAGATGGTTTAAAATTGTCTATAGTTTCTAATATTTGAAACTTAAAACTGTTAAGTATTTGTTTCATCAGATGGCATCAATTGCTTAAAGGTTTTTTAAAGGTAAATTTTTAACCTTTAAAATTTCATTAAGCCTTTAAGATAAAGAACAAAATGAGACTTACAGAACTTTTGTCTATCGTAACTATGGACGGATTGCTGACGTTGAGGGCCTTCTCGGGACATAGTCGGTTGTTGATGTCCCTCTGTAAGGTCAGAGTAGCATTGGGAGAGCCCTGGGGTGTAGCAGCGGTGTGAGTGATGACGGGGGGAAGGTTATCCAACCCGTTACCATTCCCTCCTCCTCCGTTCTGGTGCTTTATGACGGTCAACACATAAGGTTGAGCTCTCATTTTGATTTCTAAAAAGAGATACGCTTGTTAAAATGATTTTTTTAAAACATATTATTCTTATTTCTTCACTACCGCATATTTACGTGTATAAGCCGTTTGTTTATAAGTTACGTGTCTAGCTTTTTTGCAGCTGATGTGTTGGAGTCGGCTTACATAGGAGTTAAAAATGACTTTATAATAATAATAATTCGATAACAAAAATGAGTAACTGAAAAAAAAAAAAAAAGTTAATAAAAAAATCTGAAATGTTTCAGATTTTAAATGAAGTCCAAAGGGGCGTTTTTTTTAACGTTTTGTGTGTTACCTTTATTTATTAAATATCATGTTCTATGCACTTAAACTATAAAATTCAGTTCAAGAGCAATATCACAAAAAATTTTAAATTGAGCATATTTTTAGAATTTACGATACAAAGTCTCCGGCGCTGGAGATAATTTTGTGTGTGTGTGTGTGTGTGTGTGCAACGTTCCCATTGCTCAGTTTGAAATCCTTGAGTTTGTTAATCAGAAATTCATTATAAAGTTTTGCAAAATATGAAATCGATAATAAAACAAATTCCAAATTTGAAATTTGTATTTCATGCCATATTCGGAGGAGGATTACGTCATTCAAAATTGAATGGCTCTAGATCCCGTTGTTTTACCACAAGCTAGCTAGACAGGCATTTATGCAGTTTTCATATTTCTTTCTTCAAATATGCAGACTCTAACTTGGGTCAACAGTTTGAAAGTGAACCACATTTATAGGAATCCGACGCAAAATGCCAAAACGAAAGTAACAGTCCTTCGGGACTCAAATCCCTTTGGACTAATAAATTGTATTATTGAAATGAACTGAAAAATAATATTTTTTGTTTAATCCTAATATACATTAATCAAATTTATAATATCAATATCAGATGTTTTTTTGCTGTTCTCGGAAGTCTCATCCCATTGCTAGAGACAAGTCCGAATGAAAGGCAATACTCTTTTATTTCGTCTTTAACATCGTTATTGTACACCTTGCAGGTAACATCACTTTAATGTAATTTCATAGCATTGAGAATGCGATATATTTTGAAAGATCGGATAGCCATATACGGTCTATTTTTAGCAAGAATGAGTACTTGACACTCATTTTCAGCTCGTTTGATTATGTCTAGCTAAATTAGATGATCAATTATTCGTATATTTGGCGATATACATAGCTGAATTTACAGGTTTATTACGAAATTCGGCTTATATATGGGTTTGCAGATTTAGTTTAACTCTTCCAGAAAAATCTTACCTTTTGGCATTCGGAAATATGCGATAAATGGAAAAATGCATACAATTGAGTACATGGTGGTTTGCTCTAAACGCTGTTTATATAATTTAAAAAAAATTGTTTTTCGCATAAGAATATTTCTTTCTTTTGGAAGAGACACCTGAAGATAAGAGTTTAATATTTGGCACTTTAGAGAGATTATCTTCTCCATAAAATCTCTTAATCTGGAATCATATTTCTTCACACTTCTGATATGTAATATTTCAGAGCGAACGTGCTAAAAGTATATAAATAATATATTGTTGATTAAAACACAATAACACGCCGAATAAATACTAATTCAGAAGTCAAACAAACAGAAATCAGCGTTATATTTACAAAATTTTCACAGGACTAGTTTCGATGGTTTTACCGAACCACCATCCTCAGCTGCAAAACCGCAAATTATATTGTTGCTTTGAATCCTAATGTAAGTTTAAAAGCTGGGTTAGCAAAATTTGTTTTCACATTCACTATTACTGATTTCTGTATTATCGTTACAAATCATGCCGTATATCATGTTTAAGAAATAAATGTTTGTTTTATAGTCACAATTTTTAGCATGTATTCATTAATTTCCTATTTTAATACCTTAATTGTTTTAGTTTTGGCAATTTTTAAATATTTATTTTTCATAACTCGTATATTAATTTCGCAAAACCCTTTCAATTTATGCTTGATTCACCATTTTAGATTTTAATGCTTTCGTATCCCTGGAAAAAATAACAAGACTATGATCATAAAGAGGTACATGATTTAATTTTCTATTCTTCAGAGGTTTTATTCTAAACAAGCTCCTTGTTTACTGTATTTTAAACCTGTTAATATTCCAAGCAGTCTTAATACTGGAATAACTAACTGTTTAATTTAATACAGTCAACTTTCGATTAATCAGGACTATTAAAAAAGTAATTTAAAATTAAAAAGTAAAAAAAGTAATAAAATGTATTAAAAAAGTAAATCCGTAAATTACCTCAAGATGAAAAAAATATTATTACAAAGCATCAGCTTAATGCAAATAATCTACGGGAAAAATGTGTGAAATAATATCAGTGATAGAAGTTCATGGTTTAGTACTTGAGAGCTGTTTTTATCCACACCTGCACATAATTTAATTATATGTAATTCGGTATGTACACATTTGAGTCACATTAAGGTGTCCGCTTGCTATTATGCAACGAAACTACCATATGCAATGCAGACAGTGGTCAAAAGGCTGGGAGGGATGGTGGAAATAGTTCGCAGGAATAAAGAACCACATTGATTGCAATGCAGATGACAGGTGTTGGAAGGATTGATGCAGCGAACAATCTGATCGTGGTAGACCCATAGATTCTGGATAGTTTTAAGTCCGAGAAATTTGAGTACAGTAACTCTTTCACGTGAGTTTCCAACCACTCGCATGCTTTCTTAAGTAGATGACACCTCGCATTGTTGTACTAGAAGATGCCACCATTCCCAAGGAAAATATCTATATATGTATGTCTGTACGCAGTCTGTAAGAATTGATGCATACTTAATACGATCTATAGTTCATCTACAACGATGAACGGCTCAGGAAATGATACGAAAATATTTGCCAGACCATAACATTGTTTCCGCCAGTTTGTATTTGTCCAAAAATAGCCGAAGCGTAGTTATCCTTTGATGTTTCTCGACGTATGCTCCAATGCCCATTTGCCGATAAAGCAAAAAACTCGATTAATCGAAGAAGGCAGCCTTTCCAAGCAGTGATGGCCACTGCTGGTACTACTGTCAAATTCTATTCTCTTCTGCGGATGAGTACTCGTTAACGGTGGTGCTGACAACATTCATCTGCTGTGGAGTCCGTATGCAGCGTGATTTCCTGAACTACCATTCTGGGGCACAATTTAAGTAGGCCACAGGTATATGTGGGCAATTAACTTGCTGTAATACCCAAATGAATGCTTTTATGCCAATCAATTTGAAACTACTGCAGCAACAGTTTAGCTCTTTCGCCTATGGCTCATGGTAGTCCCCAATTTTCACGACAATTAAAAAGCTTTCCGAATGCCTAAAACGCATTATATGCCATCAAAATTTTCTGCTAACACATACCATATAGGACTGGCTATTTAGTCCGTGACCATATAGGAGTGGCTATTTAGTCCATATAGGAGTGGCTATTTAGTCCATATAGGAGTGACTATTTAGTCCGTGAAGCTGAAGTCAAACATAACAGGTGGTCACATTCATATTAGTCGACCTTGTGTAAATCATACAATACAAAACAAAAAGTTGTAGCCGACTATTTTACGTTAGTTTGAAATCAATGAAATAATTCAAACTCTCTTGTAAATAATATTCTTTAATGTCATTTATAATTTATTTCTGTATTTCTATTTATTTTTATTCTTCCGTTATTTACAATGAATTCTTTTTGTTTTGAATACTTAACTTAAGAAACTTAAGCAAATGAGCTCATGGTCTAGATTACGTTGTCTGAAAACACAGACAATTTTTTATAATATTGGGCGCTCCTCTTTGTTAAGTTCATTTCTAATAACTGAGATTTCATCTGCAGTTAACAGAAACTGTAATTCACCTCAGTAAATTGAATCTGACGACTGTATTTAATTCCAATGACTTTTCAGCTGAAAACTACGAGGAATAACAACTAGCCTTTGTTTATCATAACTAAGAATAATTTTATTTCTTACTGGGAAAACTAAAGCAAACTGATAAATTAATGGTAAACGAATTAAAGCTTTTACTATCAAATCCGAAAACCTCTGCCTAAAAGAATTATGACCAGTGTTACTGTAAAACACGAGAGAATTAATTAATAAGCATCTCTGTAAAATTTTTCTTTATCGGAGCTCTTAGAACTCAAATACAAAATTCACCAAAACTCACTAGATTTTTAAAAATTTCATAAAATTAAATGAATTTTATAGAATGATGCGCTTTGCAGCAAAATTTATGTCATTATTTCGGTTTTCTTATAACAGCCTCTCTGAAGCATTTCCTCATAAAATCATTTCATCCCGAACGACAAATCGTCAATTCTTGAGCTCGTCAGTTTTCAGCGATTAATTAGTCTTTCATATCCTATTGAGTTTCCTCAGTTTTTCTGGAATTGACGCACGTGCATATTTTTCTTGTAGGGCTATGTGAAATATCGCTGAGCACTGGGAGTCCATCATTTCTAGTACAATTAAATGATGCTTTCCAACGTAAAGGTGTGCAGTTTAATTTGAACTAAAATATTTTTTGTAATAAGAGAAAAAAAACAGTCTGAATTCTTAGCATAAATTTTAATGCAGTTCGCATCTTCATAAGATAATTTATTAACGTTTTAAGAAACTTTGAAAGTCTTGTGATCTTCGATGCCCATTGTATTTGCATTTTTATCGTACAAGTGTTACTTATACTATACGATAAAAAGTATTTAAAAATACATACAAAAAATGCTACAGATTTTCTTTAAGGTTGCAAGGAATTCCAAGGCTTGTAAAAAGATTGCTGCGTTTTCAATTAAGCAAGCCAGTAACTGTCCAGTACCACAATCTACAGTCGATATTGACAGGAAAGACAAGTGCAAGATTAAAAAAAGAAATGCATATTCTGGATGGCGGAGATCTGCGCGAGTTTACCTTTCTCGATGTTGTCCTTCGGGTCATCTTCAGTGGCAATCCACTTTACGTTTTCAATGACCTCCTTGTCCGTACTTGTCTCACAATCCTGCTTCTCACAGGCGTAGACACTAGAAATGTTGTCCGAGTCCCGCTTCTCATCCTGCGTTTAACCAAAAGAAAAGAAATTAAAATTAAAACTAAATAATAGCTTCATGCATTTTAAATTAGTAATACTATCTTCCTTTTCTTCGTGGTGAAGTATTTTCGCAGCCTTATTTCATATATATGTTACCGTAAAAGACCGAAATTGGAGAATGTCGACTTTCACCGTAGAATATCAACATTTACCAAATACGTCGGTGAAAGACCGAATATTTCATATTCTTGTATATCGGACCATACGGTTGTATTGTCGATCAATCACAGCTCTGCTCTGTTGTAGGTCGAAACGAGAGGAGTATGTAACACGCTGCATTCAAAACAGAGAGTTTCCACAAATAAAGTGCAGTTTTAAAGCCAGAGCCTCTTGAGGCATTCAAAGTGTCCACTCATATTCCGTTTGTTGCGGATAACTAAGAGTTGAACAATAATTTGTAAGTTTATACGTTAGATTTTCCTTTTCCTTTTGAATGTACGGTGTGTTTTAAGTTCCTATGTTCTAGTTCTTATTCTGAGTTTCAAGGGCTTTTTGCGCGACTCTACGGAGAAGGAAATTAATACTTTCTTCTATGTTCAACATTCACCATTAGACCGGGTGAATGTCGACATTAACCGATTGTAATCAGAAAGAAGAGTGATTGGAAATATTTCGGACATACACCACGCCGGCCTATTGAATGTGGGACCTTCCCCCCGTTGCCAGTCGCCATCTCCGATTTCGGTGTTTCACCGTAACATATATACAGTTATTTTACTAGGCGTGGCTACAAAGAAAAAGGCAAAAGGAAAAGAATAAGCACGTGGAACAGCAGGATTTTGCCAAATGGCCAAATCAAGGTGGTTACAGACAGATGAAAACATCGTGGAAGAAAACGTAGAGGAGAAAACAACGCAAGGAGAGTACGCCATCGTATAAAACATCGAACGAGGAAAAAAGATGTAGAAGAAATATAAATTACAGGAAAGAATTAACGTAAAACTAACGTGTTATCTGAAACATACTTTACATACTTAACCACCTACAATGGCAAAAAATATCTTACAATTGACAGTTTTGTATTTATTAGAAACTTCATGAAAATAATGCTTAATTCTCGTTTCAGAATTACATACATATTTTTACTATTAGAATATTAGAGCACGAGTATAACACACATATTTCCATTACGTTGTCTTTCTTATTTTACAAATTATTGTTTTATTGGTAGTGATCACTATGTAATATAATTTAGTTTGAAATTCTCAGTTTCACATAGTTATATAATACTTTAAGAAAGAATGAAGTGAATACCTTAGAGTAACACATAGAAAAGTGTTAAATTATAAAAAAAAAAAAAAGGAGAGTTGCGACAATATTAATAGTAGTGTTTCAACCGCTTTCTTGGATCAAGAAAAGTGGTTCCTTTTACAGTTTTGATTTGGTTCTGCTCTCCATACCCTTGTCACAACGATTATTAGATGGCGTTTGTATATGATTTGTAAATACTGTATATTTTTATGCAATGCTTGAACACCTCTAGACATCCCCTGAATTTGCAGTCCATTAAATTATTTATTAAAACTATCAAGCAATGTGAGATAGAAATCGTATCAAACAACGTCTTCTCAAAGAATTTGTACTTATAAACCTGATAAAACATGCACAGATTTCATCATGAACACTCCCAGTTGCATAGTTTGAAAGAGTTTGCACATCCTGAATATAGTCACAAGTTCGGAGTAGTGGTCATGGATTTAGAACATTAAACTCATATTTCATAACTTTATGCCCTTGCAATAGAAAATTAAACCTTCACACAGTTTGAATCAACAAATGAAAAGTCGACAGACATAATGTGCTATGAGTCTTCTAAAGATGTGCTACTGTAATATTTATTTATGAAGTGAATGTTTAAATATTTATTTCAAAAGTATTCAATCAATCAGACTTTCCAAACATATTCTAATTGTTCCTTATTTCTCAATATTCACTTGTTCCCCTTGGAACAATAACGTTCTCACTTCAATTTCTACCGGTGGGTGATATTATAGCCCATGTTGGAAATTACTGATATAAGTAGTTAAAACTGAAGAAAATATTACGGGTCACCTTAAAAGTTTGAATAGTGTTAGAAAGTACACAGTTTTTATTTACTAGTTCAGCAAGGATCTGCACAGCAGTTACACACGAGTTTCCTTTTTGATAATTTCGTAATGTTTGATACGTTGTAGAGTCTAGTGAATGAACTTCTGGCTGTATACTTGAGTAGCAGGAAACTACACAGGAGAAGGGTTAAAGTACCCTTTATTAAATCTTTGAAAACTTTACAATGCGTCATCTTGACGCTAATAAACTTCGCCTCTGCTTGGGAGGTAACTGAGAGTCAGACAATTGAAA